CCAGCTAGTCACGAATCAAAGTATTCACTTTTTTCCTGTTTTTCACATAAATGGTGCAAATTTTCGTATTCTCCAGATGAGGTTGTATCTCTCCGAATATTTAACACAATTGATGCCTGAAAAAATGGACTGGATACTTTGACTTGCCACTAGCTGGCTTTTGGAGGGATGGTACCCACAAGTTACCTGAACATTGCCAACATGTTGTGGATCACGACAGTGCATATTGCTAATTCTGGATTATTCTTGTGTTTGTGTTAATTACTAATAAAAAAATAGACAGTTACTTTCCTGCCAACCTAATAATCAAAAAAAAATGGATACTTCATAAATCCAGGCCCGGCGCGGATTGGCCCTGGCCCGGCCCGGCCCGGTTGTATGTAAAAATGGAACGTTTTATTGAAAGCTAAAAATGACTAATAGCAAGTAGCTCAGCAATTCCTTTGTTTTCTTTTTCTTCCATGTTCTGAAAACTCGATTTCTTGATAATTCTTTTTTTTTGTAGTGAAAGGATTAATATGATTTCATTTTTTCATGCCATTTTCTACCCATTTTTTTTCTAACCCCACTTTTTTTTCAATTCACATTTTTTTCAAAGTACTCATCACGAGCATTGACCAATTTTTTTTCCGCTTTTTTGAACTAATTTTGGTCTCAAAAATTTTTCGTTTTTTCCCGTTTCATCTAAAAGTTCAATAGAGTTCAAAATTTAAATTTTCAGGTATTTGACTCCGCCCATTTTTTCCATTGAAACTCAAAATGAAAGACGAAACGGTATTCGACGCGATGAAGTCGTCCGTTCAAACGATCGCTTTCATTTTTTCGTGTTTTTCAAATCTGATCCTGATTTTTTTGATATGCACACGGTCGCCAAAACGGCTCGGCTCCTACAAATATTTGATGATTTATTTCTGCGTTTTCGCGATTTTCTTCTCAATTTTGGATATTTTGTTGCAACCGGTAAGTGGGATACTGTAGATGCCAGAAATGTGCGGAATGACTTTTTCGAAAAAAAAGTTATCCGGAACAAAAAAAAAGATAATTGACTGTTGACTTGCGTTTTTCAACAATAAAAACTTTATGAAACGGAAAATTTTTCCAAGAAGTGCCCAGATTTTGACATTTTCAATGGAAAATAGTAAACTTTGAAATTCTACGAAAGTGGTCCAGGATTTTTTGATTTGTCTGAAATTTTCAGAGTATACTAAAAAAGACAGAGCTTCATTTTTGTAGTTGAAAACTTTTTTTGTACAAATCCAACATAAGCGAGATAAGCGGTTTTATTAGTCACGACTCGCTTTTCAGTTTTCTTTTCGGCACTTTCGATTTCAAATGGCATATCTCCCCGGAGTAGAATTTGGCTGAAAAATTATTAACTACAGAATTAAAGCTCTAGTTTTGTTTAGTATACTCTCAAATTTTCAGAAAAATAGAAACATTTTGAAATACTTTTTAAGAAACTTAGTTAAATAAACTTCCAGAATATTCTAGGATGTTCTAGGATCTTCCAGGATCTTCTATGATCTTCTAGGATCTTCCAGAATTTTTTGGGATCTTCTAGGATCTTTAGGAGCTTCTAGGATTTTCCAGGATCTTCAAAAATTTTTTAGAATTTTCTAGGATCGTCTAGGATCTTTTGAAATCTTCTAGAACTTTTTGAAAATTTTCGTTTATGCCAAAAATGCTAATTCCCATTTCCAATATTCTGTATTAGCAACTCTTTGAAACCGGTATCAATAATCTGATAGTTTCACGAGAAAGATTTCAGTACATCTTGTCTGCCGGTCCCGGATTCATTGTCATCACTGAAATCAAGGATACATTTTTGGGACCATTTGGAGAGACATGTCTGCTGAGTGAGTCCGTTTTGAAAATTATTTATAAAATTTACTTGATCTATTATAATAGAAGCCCAGTCAAACCATCAAATTCAAGCTCAATTATCTCGATTTCTATAAGAGATATCAAAAATGTGTCTACTGATAAAATATTAGTGATATTATGATAAATAATTTACCAGTTGACAAATTTTTGATAATATCACTCACAGGAATCAAGATAATTGAGCTCAAAGCTGACGGTTTAAATATTGATCTCAGGTTCATTGTGTGGTTGTTTTGGATGCATTCTTGCCACTATCGCTATTCACTTCATTTTCAGATATTTCGCTCTGGAAAGGTTATCTTTGAATTCTTCTTTCAAATTTTTGAATATATTTTTTTCAGAAAAGGAAAGTTACGCTACTTTCAAGGTCAATATCTAGTAGGCTGGTTGACAATTCCAGGTTTAGTTGGAGCAGTTTGGACAGCCGTTACCGTATATTTTTGCGCTCCAAATGAGATTACGATGGATTATTCTAGGTGGGGAATTTAAAATTTTCGAAACAAAACTAGAAATTTTTATTTCAGACAACTCATGAAAGACCACTATCAAATTGATCTGAACAATGTGACATATATTGGATCGATTTATTTTCTGAAAGACAAAGGAACTGGAAGAACGATCCCAAATAAATTTGGGCTTCTTGGAATGGGCATTTTGTTTAGTATTATGGTAAGGAGGTGTGGGTTTTTGGTGAATTATCAGTGGAGCGAGTTTGTCTCACTGTTTCACCTAGGCTAGGTATTGGTGCCAGAATGTAATTCCTCGTTGAACGAACTGTGTTTTTGTACATAAATTCGGCCAAATGATCTCCATCAGTCTCCATATCCATTAGTTGGGCTTGCTGGAGGTGCCAAAAATCAGTTTTTGAAACAGGAAAATAATTTCCGTTTCACAAAGCTCTCGAAATATCTTTCAAAAAATGCATTTTGGTGAAAAAACAAAGTATCTAAACTTAACAAAATATACTGCCTCGATAACTTTTATTTCAATCGCAGAATTTTTATAATGCCTACTTTTTTTAGTTATTCGTTGATTTCTTTTTTTTGACCACTTCTCAGTACAAAAACTGGTCAAAAAGGGTGTCCTACAGAGGTCGGTGCCCTAGACTCCTCAAAATGGTCGAAATGGCCGAAAATCAACTGAAAAATAAGTTTTTGTATATCTCATAGACCGGTTGGATATTTTCAAACATTTCCTGTTTCAGCTACTTTTTTTATTTTAATTGGACTTTTAATAAAATATTATCGAAAACATCTGCAATTTTTCTTGCTAGTTTATAGAATTTTCCGTAGCTCAGAGGCGTCGGATCTTTGAAAATAGGTCCAAATATAGTTTAAATATTTCGATTTCTATGAGAGATATCAAAAATTTTTGTACTACAAAAATATTGGTGACATTATGACAAACACTTTTTCAGTTGACAGATTTTCAATATCTCTCATAGGAACCGATATAATCAAACTCAAAACCTCTATTTCCAGGGAATCTCCCTCTCCATCCTAATCTATTTCGCCGCCAAATGCTATACTCGAATCAAGACACTGATCTACGAAGGGGAGTCTTCATTCACCAGAAATCTCCAAAAACAACTATACAAGGCTCTTGTTGCTCAGGCTTCAATTCCAATGTTTTTCATATTTATGCCCGTTGGTCTCTATTTAACACTTCCTCTTGTTGGAATTCAATTAGAAGTCAGTGGAGAAATCGTGACGTTTGTTTATGCGCTGTATCCGGCACTCGATCCGTTGCCAATCATTTTTATCATCGACAATTATCGATACGCGATTTTTGGTGAGTTTTTTGAATGTTTCAAGGGTCAACTGTTCACATAATAATGGAATTTTTTGTTTTTCAAAAAAATGAAAGTTTCTTGAAACTGCAATGATAGTTCCTTAGCAATGTTCATTACTGATCATGTAATTCTATAATACATATTCTTTGATAACCCCAATTTTGACTGTTTTTCAGATTTTCTCGGCTGTTGTCAACCAAGAAATCGAGTTGGGGTTGATGATGAACCAACCAGTGTCTCCAGACATATTTCTAATTGCAATTGAATATTTTTAAGCGTATTATTTTTATTCAAATTGACAGCTTTTTTTCTCTGTTTTTATAAATTCATATGTAATTTTCAAAACTTATTCTTTCGCTTTTAACTCCAAAGTCATTGAAGGAATTCTAGAAGATCGTAACTTAAAGGACTACAAAACATTGTTTATGAGCATTCTTTAATGGAATTTATGTGACTTGAAACAATACATAATTTCAGCTGGATTGGTTTTCTCTTCCTTGGATTGCCAATTTTTTTTGAATGTTTTAACAGTTTCATGGGCCTCTAAAAATACGAAATGATAAATCATAATAATAGTCACAAATGATGAAAGATAATGGAATATGAGAAAAATTTTGAAAGTAAAACTCCAAACTTACAGTAATCTCATTTCTTAAAATTTTTCGTATTTCAGGGTACCTAAATAGACTACCCTAAAATTTTCAATTCAATTGGATTTGTCTGGATGGAGTTACAGATAGAGCGTTACTGTAGATACCGTATACCCACAGTAGTCTCATTTTTGAGAACATTTTTGAGATGGGGTGAATCCCGGCAAACAACTGTTACAGTTTCGTGACACTGTCTTCATTCGCAAAATTATCTATTGACAATACTGTCTTCTTATTTTTTACAATCCCATATTCTTTTTAAAAAAAACCTTCCACATAATTTTTCTCCTGCAACTCCCACATACCTCATTGTATCTCGATTTCAATAAAACTTTCAGGTCCAAAATCCAAATTCCAACGTCATCAAAATTTTCCTAAAGTCATCTGATAATTGGACGTTATTATCGTGAAAAATAGACTATAAAAATATTGGTAAGGATCAGAATACAAAATTGAACGGATGTCATCACATGAATCATGTGGTTTCGAGATTAAAGGATTCAGAAGGTGTGTCTTTCACAAGAAATCCTGAAAATTGTGCTTAAATAAGTGCTTAAATATTGGTTCATCCTGATTTTTGAGCATTTTCCTTCGAAAATTATCAAAGTACATATATCTAGAGTAGGAAAGTCAGACTAGTTTTATTTGGAATTTCAAATTTTTCGAAATATCTTCATAGTACAGAATCCTGATCACTTCTAAAAAATAAAGTTTCAAAAACAGTAATTTTTGAACTCAATTTTTTAAATTTTTCTCTAATTTCTCATCAAAAAATAGTTTTTTTCATAGATCCTGAATTTCTAGTTTTTCTGACGTCTTCAGTGTTCTAGAGAGTTCTAGTAAAAATTGGGAATAACAGAAAAAACGGCATTATTGCTCAATTTCATTTTTTTTTCTGCCTGTCTCATTTTCTCAGAAAATTTCAATCCAATAGGATTAAAAAAAAGAGAATTTTAGAAAAATATACTGCGTATTTTAAATTTTCAGAATTTTCGCTTCTCATTTTTCAAAAAATGTAGTCTCTAAATTACTGAAAATTTTGAAATCTAAAAAAAAGAGAAATTTGAAACTGAAAGTTTTGGAAAAATTTATTTCTTCAAAAATTTAAGCAAAAAAAAGAAGAAACTCATATATTTAGTTTTTTCATAACAATAATCCTTTCGAAAACTCCAGAATTTATCGTTTTCAGTTCTTTTTTCATATTTTGTTACCAACACTACAAACAACGAAAACAAGACATATTCCCGTATATTGTTTACTCATAAAATTCTCATTATTTTCGATATTTTCATTCATGTTTTTCACCTGTTTTGGAAGAAAATGTCACAAAAAAAGCTCTGAAAAAATCTGATTGTAAGTCAAAAGTTTTATTTCAGTTTTTACGTAAATTTAATTTTTTTTTTCAGTTTTATCAACAGACAAATAATAAAACTAGAAAATGAGTTGATGGATGATAATGTTAAGAAACAGAGAAAAAAAAACTTTGAGAAGCAAATAGAAATGTCTATGTAAATGTGTTGTTCACAGAATGCACACCATAACTCCAAAAAATCTTTAGCTTTTTCGAAATAATCTTATAAATGGAACTTGGAGAGCAACCTTGTTACAATTTAATTCGACATACTTTTTGAAAACTGTCATTCTTTAAACATCAGTCAACTAAACATCGCTTATTCACTCACTTGGTAAAGTTGAAACTTGACTCTTCTTATATCCTCTCTTCTCTTCAAAGTTGAAAATTATCATATGTTCCAAATTTTTCTCCGATTCACTGGTCCCTTAAAACCCTTCAGGCATTTTCGTCTTCAATTTTTTTTTACCTTACACAGATTTCTAATCCTTATGTCCTTATTCCTAAGAGTCATTAGCACTTTCCAGAAGATGCTTTAGATTCAAAAAGAATATCCATTTCCTTAATCTAACAAGGAAAGTGTTTTCAGACGGGGGTTGAGAATTTGCTCAAAATTTTAGTACTTATAGTTTGAGACTCCCTCTACACGATGTCAGAAATATCTCGTCCCCGGATTCACCAGGAAGCTTAAAATCTTCGTCTGAAATTTTTATACCGATTTCGCGCTCTCCCTCTCTCCTCTATCCCCCTCCCTCCTCTACGCCCTCCGCGCCAGAGGAAAATGTCGGTTGTGTGGTGTTGTGGTAAGAGGGTGACTCATTAGGAGTGAATATGCTGGTTCGAACCTCGCTGTGGTAAAACTTTTTTGCTTTTTTCGAAACGAATTTTTGATTTCCAGTTTGGCCCTCTAGACACTTTATGATACAATTTGATGAATTTTCAAAGTAGAAAGAAGATTTTATGAGAACTTGATGAAAAATTTATTGATGATCTTTTTGACCGGTTCTTACATTATCCTATAGTTAAAAAACGAAAGTTCTACCCTCTGGAAACTTCTCAATTCTACATTATTCGAGAACATCATAAAAAACAAGTTTTAAAGCTTGAAAAATGCACGTTTTTGGTAAAAATTTAGCACTGAAAACACTTTGAGAGCCCATATGTCGATTCCTATTGGTTCCGGGGATGAGATATTGCTGACACCGTTTTCAGCATGTTCGAAAGTACCTTTTCACAAATTTTGGGCAAATTCTCAACCCCCGTCTGAAAACACTTCCCTTGTAAGACCAATTTCGCTTATTCTTCCTCACAATTCTTTTTCAGTGTCATTGTTTTCAGAATAGGAGCTAAAGTCATAAGTTTTTGATTTCTTGTGTCAGTTTAAACTTGAAAATCTAGAAAAAGTTTTGTATTTCTCGAAATTAGTTTATTTTGAGTCTATGAAACACTTTTGATCGGCCTGCAGTTTCAGTGTAGAATACTTTTTTTCCATTCATTACTAGCAACGAATTCTTCCTAAAATCTGAATTTATCTGAGAAAAAAATTAACTTTTGAAGAATTATCACTGTTATACCATATCTTCAGTTTCTCCTTTTCTTTCAACTCTTAATGAATGCTTTCTTCGTTGTGTTTAGCTTTTCACTTCTGATTCCCGATCCTTATATTCACATTACGTAGAGTCTTAAACCCATTAGTGCTTTTTTTCAGATTTTTCAGTTTCCAAAAACGATTGTCCATAGCTTAAACCTATGTAATCCCTATTTTATTTATTCACTGTAAAAAAGTATTGGGATATGAGAAAGGTACATAATGCATAAACGATTTAGAATTGCGTCTATAGGAGTTGAACTTGTGGGCAAAACATTGAAGGTACTGAGCTTCGTAGTTGATTCTTAAAAATATTTTTTTCCAGTTTTATAATTTATCATTTAGAGTTCCAGCCATTCGTTATTAGTCATTTAGTATTTTTGACTTCTCAAATGCTTTAAAATTTTTTTTCATTTTGTGTCCATCACATTGACTGATAATCCGTCTTTAAACTTTTTGAATTTTTTTTGTATCATTTAATACGGTCTAAAATCCCATTCACTTATTTTCATCATACCTCTTTTAAATTTTTTCGGTTTTTTAATATCATATTTCAAGCTTAATTCGTTATTTTTTGATAGTAACGATAAGACTATTCAAATGTCAACAACAAGTTTCATTTTAACTGCTTTTTAAAGGTGGGGGGACAGGAGATTTTACGGGGGATTTTTGGGGCCAGAGTATGCATTCTACCGTGACGGTGTACAACACTTAATGTCACTCTGCGTACAGCTGTCGTCCTCGCCTTTATGTATGCAATCGGGCGACTGCTTTTTCTTTGCCCGTGTAGCTCAGTCGGTAGCGGCGCCGCACCCTCAATCATCAACCCAACAAGTTCAACTCCTCGAGGGGCATATTTAAACGAAATTTCTAGAACATTATTTTTTTTCATGTCCCCTCACCTTTAAGTTAAACGAATGAAGACAGGAGTTCGTAGAGTTTTTTCGGAGTTACAGAATGATTTTACTCCTCCTTCGAAGTGATCTCATTTTTTCCGGTTTCTCAATCTTTATTTCCCTACTTTCATGATTTCCTTTTTTTTGATACATCAAACGAAGAAAAGAGCTTTTTTCCAGAATGTATACCTACCAAGAAGTCAAAAACGGGGTCCAATGGACATCATTCGGTTTTTCTCTCTTTTTGAATTCCCTCCTAATCTATTTAATTATCACGAAATCACCAAAGAAAATGGGTAATTATCGGCATTTGATGATTTATTTCTCACTGTTTGCAATGCTATTTTCAACGATTGATGTAGTAACGGGACCGGTGAGTTTTTGGGAGTTTATGGTAACTAATTATGGTAGTTTTCGCTTAAAGGTGGGGGGACAGGAGATTTTTCGTAGTTTTTTGTAGTTAGAGTATGCATTCTACCGTCACGGTGTACAACGCTTAATGTCACTCTGCGTACAGCTGTCGTCCTCGCCTTTATGTCTCGGTAAAAATTCGCAGCAGATGTACAGCAACTTAGGCGATCCCAACAGATGTGCAGCGTCTACACTACAGTTGTGCAGCTTTCTGAGGCTCGCAGCACGTTCGCAGCATCAGTGCATCAATCACGTACAGCATATAAGGGAGATTGGTGTGAGAGCGCGCAGCAGCATTCTCGCAGCAAGTGAACATCACTAATCCAGCATTTGTGCAGCAGAAAAACAAATTCAGTTAATCAAGATTGACTTTTTACCTGACTCTTATTTTCTGATAAAAGGGGGAATGCCCATAAATCAAGTGCTTGAAGGATTAAATGGATTCTATACAAAATAAAAGTTTGAACATAGCGATTAATTAATCTCAACAAGAAGTATGCAGAAGTATTGTTTCCGTAAAGATTAGCCATTGTATGCTGTCACTCCACAGCGAATGACCATAAAAACTCTATTAATGTCTGAGACTATAAGAAAGCAGATTGTCCGAACCACAATGGATTATGAAATCGTGATACAAGTTATCTTAAAACCTCTAATAGGAGGGTCTGCTAACAGCCAAACCGATTAAGCCATTTCCTATGAAAGATATCAAGAAGTAATAAACTGATAAAACATTGATCGTCATACTAACAATATTTTGTCAGTTGAACAATTTTTGATTCCTTTAACAAAAAGCGAGATACCGTATTTCCTCTTATTTCCTAGAAGCCCCACACCAATCACCCACTTCCAGCTCAGTTATCTCGGTGCATACAAGAGGTATCAAAAATTTGTCAACTGAGAAAATATTGGTAATACTATGATAAACATTTTGTCAGTTGACCTTTTTCGTATCTTTACCAGAAATCAAGAAAACTGGGATTAAAGCTGACAGTATGAGTGGTCTTCTATATAAGAAGAAATACGGTAAATTTGGTCAAAGTAGGCTGTTAGGTGACTTTAAAGCTTGGAAAGTTCAAAGGTATATTCAGAATTATTATTGCCAAAAAACTATATTTTGTTTAGGTAATAATTACGTTTTTGATGATGATCTATTCTAATCATGCTGAGATTACTTTTCCGAGAAAAAAAGAATTATTATGCGTAAATAGAACAAAATGCCAAACTAGTCTGATATGAAGTTGCATATATTTTTGAAAAAAATGATGTTTCTTTTTGTTCTTTGAAGTTTTTTGAATTTACATTAAATCCATCGACTGTATTAAACATTAGAAAAGCAAGCGTGTTTGGAGGGCCAATATTTGAACTGCCCCGCTTTTACTGCTACGACACTCCGAAACTACGGAGGTGCGCCTTGTTTAGCAGCTCAATTTTTCTGGAATATTTCAGCTATTTTTACATCGTTTTCATTATTTTTATTAGAATTTTCGCTTCAAAAACTATATCATAAAATTCACTTTCTTATTGTTTCGGAACGTTTTGCATGCTCTTCCTTATTTTTTTTGCATGCTCTTTCCCGTTAAAAAAGTACAAAAATATAGAATTGTAGGTTGAATGAGAGTATCCGAGGCCAGCGCAATTTTCCGCGTTTTTCTCTACGAATTCTGTCAGGTACGTTATTTTTAGGCTCTTTTTTGTGTATTTCAACCTTTATTTTCTCAGATTCCGAAAGATTGCGTCACAGGCTGATCTCCGACGAACGATAATTTCGAAAACTGGAATTGGAGCTATTCTCAGGTGAGATTTATTTTTAAAATTTTGAAAAGCTGTGAAAATAACTAGTGACCAGTGTATACTTTCGACACGACTTCGATAAATTTTTCGGAATTTCTTTGATAAAAACACATTTTTCGAAAAGACACACTGCTAGTGGCTGATCAAAAACAATCATTATATGAAAAGTTCTGTTGTTTTCCTTGAATTTTCGTTTCTCAAAAGATAGCATTATAAATAACCTGAAATATTTACTCTCAAAACGTGTTTCCTGTTACAGACCGCTATGAAATCAACTGTCGGATGAGAGAAGGCGTCGGACCGTGCAGACATTCGAATAGAAGCGACACCCTCAGCCAAACACCCGGTTCAGGATGGAAGGAAGAAGGCGACACTCAACTGCTAAGGCTTCAAAAGACGAATGTATTGAGAATCAATTTGAGATCAAGCTAGGAGGCGAAAAAAATAAACTCATTTCTAAATAGTATAATGTTTTTTTTTGTATTTTTTCATTCCCCTCATTTATTTTAGTTTTCAATTTTTTTAAAAACGTATTTTTAACAACTGTTTCAATCAAGTGCGATAAAAGCGAAAAACGAGGGGGGAGGGGGCTATCGGCTGAATATCCTACATTCGCGCATCAACTGCCCTACACATCCCCTACAGTTGTGCAGCAATGTCGCAACAGATGTGCAGTCTACTAACATCTCTTGCGTAAATGCTGCACATCTTCCGCGTGTTTATGCCGAGGTATGCAATCGGGCGTGCGCTTTCTCTTTGCCCGCGTGGCTCAGTCGGTAGCGGCGCCGCACCCTCAATCATCGCCCTCACAAATTCAACTCCTCGAGGGGCATCTTTGAACCATACTTGTGGAAAAGATGGTCGGCCCGCGGGCCGGCCCGGGCCGGGCTGAGATTTTTCTGAAAGCGGGCCGGGCCGTGCCGGAAAAAATTACATATGGCCGGCCCGCTTTTTGAAAATTTCGAAATTTTAGAGATTTTTTTGCTAAAAATTCAATTAAATTAACTTTTTCGGATGGTTGTATGCCATTGGATTGATATTTGTGCTATTAAAAATATATTGGCACATTTGAAAAGTAACATTTTCGAAAAGTTGTCCTAGGCGGGCCGAGCGGGCCGGGCCGGGCTGGCCCGCGGGCCGGCCAGCGGGCGGGCCGAGGGTTTTGAGGCAAGCGGGCCGGCCCGGCCATCCACATGTATGCTTTGAATGGAACATTTTTCGAGAACATTATTTTTTTCATGTCCCCCCCCACCTTTAACTTGTAAACACCATGTATGAATAGTTTGATCGTATTTTGAGACCCTAAAGACGCAGTAAAATTTGTTTTTCTGATATTTCGATATAAGTACACCAATCCATTTTCAGTTTGTTCATAGTTACGAAAAAAGCTTCTGTGTATTGGCGGATCAAAGAAATTGGCCACTTGGAGAGAATTTTCAATTTTTAATGATTTGTGAGTTTTTAATCGTCAAACAGAACAGAAGTTCACTGATAACTTTAATGGGATAGGATATAGGCAATCCGTTTTTCGTGCATTGTTGAAATTTAACTTGTGTGTGAAGGATCATTTCTAGTATCTTTTAAAGATTGAGGGACAGAGCAAATTTAGGTCTGCATTCTGCCGTGATTGTGTTTGCAGAAATTGCGGATGTATGACTACCGTACCGTACATACAAGTGTGAGGATTACTGTATGCACTGATTTTTGACTATTTTTTTTCATATCTTCATGAAATCGACATTTTCACCAAACAATACAAAGTTCAATGCTGCTCTTACCATCATAGCCATAAAAATTACCATCGCAATTATACTATCCAAGACAATTTCTTCCCCTCCATCTTCTTTTTTCCTCCAATAAACAGATCCGACATAAGTGACGTCATCCATGGATAAGTTGTAGCTGGTTAGAATGCTTTCTCTGCAAAATTTGAGTGTTATGTTTAAAGTATTTGTACAGTAAAGAGCCCTAAAATTATAGGCAAGACCCTACAAAAGTGGTCCAGAATATTTCGATTCGTCTGAAAATTTTAGAGTATACTAAACAAAATAAGGGCTTGAATTTTGTAGTTGACATTTTTTTGTACAATTTTGTCCAAATGAGATAAACCTCTTTTCCATGAAATAGTACTGTGCTAAGAAGGGGGAAAGTTTAAAGCGATTTATCTTATTTGGATGAATTTGTAAAAGAAAGTTGTAAATTACAAAATTGAAGCTTTATTTTTGTTTATCATAATCTGACATTTTCGCAGAAATCGGACAGTTTTGAAGCACTTTTGTAATCTTTGACAATAGACTGTTTTTCTCTTATGTTCCAACATTTTTTACAGTTTCAAACATGCATTTTCATGAGTCAGATAATTTCGAAAAATAATTAGCATTTCGAATATGCCTTCAAACAATCCTTCTCTAAAAATGCTCAAGAAGCATGCTAATTTTGGCTGGTACTGTACTTTTTTTTTTGAATTTTTTTACACTTTCAAATAAATGGTTTCAAGGGTCTGACAGTTTCAAGAAACAATTAACGGTGTCCTTTTTCTCTAATTTATTTTTTTACTTGGATTTCTTACCTCAAATACTCGGTTTTTTCTGCATCCGGTCCCACCAAATAACCAATTGTCATTCCCCATAAAACTCCGAAATTACTGGAATCGTGAGCCGAATTACGAAATAACACCCTTGGAAATAAGACTAACAGACTTGTCTGAAAAATTGGAGTTTGAGGGATTT